TTACCGCCGGACCCGGAGGTAAGTATAGACGTACCCTTAGTCTGCACCTCCCCCCAGGGGTCCATGGACCACAGCTTGAAAACGGTTGGCTTAAGTTGAACTAATTCTTTCCCAACACAGGGAATCTTTGTTGCACAAGACTTATTGCTACGTTGTTTTAACAATGCTGTTTCTTTTGGTATAAGCCAGAGGTCACTTCTGGCCACTGATGCTACCGGTTGACAGCATCAAACAAGTCATATGTCAGTTGCTCAATAGCCTTCATAAGCAGCTAGTCCTGCCTGATAACTTGAAACTACAGATTTCGTAATACTCCCTCCCCCAACATAAAGGCAATAAATCAAAAAAAAAAGAAACATTCAAGTAAATGTATATTCCTTGTAAGAATCTACTTTCTAGGCTGTGAGCAGCCAAGTGGAAAAGCCCAGGACATGGCAGGCTTCATTTGAATTCGGTATGGACCCAATGGTCCAATGTGATGAGAGGAGGCAGGGAAGGTTTTTTTTTTAAAAATCCATTTGGATGCTGCACAGAATACATCTACCCTTTTTATTAAACGGTATACACCCCTGGGAGCATATAGTACCTGCGTTCTGTGCTCTGCAGTGACTGACCAGTGGCTTCTGAACAGTTTAAGGCTTTATAGGTCAAACCCTATACCTTAAACAGTTTTGGACTTCCCGACTTGGAAGGCTGCCTCGTTCCTCATGTCACACTGCAGTCAGCAGAAGCACCTGAGCTGGAATCCCCTTGTTTCAAAAGATTGGGGCTATTTCAGTGCCAAAGGCATAAAAGCCCTGTTGGCAACCCCCAGCTATTGAGCATTGGGGGATGTTGCAAAAACTAGTTCTTTGCTAGGGCTTTTAGGGAGGATTGCATTTCTCTTGGCTGTTTTGCATTGTTGGCTGGAAAACTTATTTCCATTGCGTGGTTTGTAGTCTTATGCTGATGGTCGGCTAGCCTTGGGATGGATTGTTTTTAAATAATTTGTTAGGGGCCTTATGAGTGGGGATAAGTGTGTAGGTTCTACATTCTTCTCCCTCCTCCCGGTCATTCCACAGAAAGAATAAGTTCTTCCAGGAGAGTCAGAACACTAAGCTTCTGACCACGTGTGATCCTTTTCCATGTTTTGCAAAAAAAAAAGCCACTGTTCTCGCCAACTTCACTTGGGATTATTACCCAAAGTGTCCCTTTTTCCTTCACCCCTCACCTCCAATTTTCAATTTGAATAATGGATCACCATTCTCCATTTCTTCTCAAGCTTTTAGGTATTGCTGTACATGTATGCTACAGTATATACTGGCTGGAGGGGCTGCATTGGGGTGTGCCTTGTCTCTTCAAAATTCTGATTCTTCAACATGGGAAAGCTACCATGTTTTTAAAAAAAATGCATGGTGCTTAAAAAAAAAAAGTGCTTAAAATCTAACTCAAGGTGCTTTAAAATGATGCTCAGAGATAAAATGTAAACGAGGGGTAAAGACCCAACCTTGCATTCCTTATCTCAACAAAGATGACACTGAACTCCATGCCAATTTTGTCTAAATAAGGACTTAAGAATCAATGTCTCTAGCTTCTTGCTGGACTAATTCCAAATGGACAACTAATATCTTTTACATTGATTCAGATTAACAACAAACCAAGGGATCATTTCATGTTAATAATGCCTCACCATGTGGAGACTTTCAAAGTACCTGAACTTGTCAGGAAAGAAAAAATTCCAGCTAGTCATGTCTCAATATTCCATTCTATTTAACCTTTCCAATAGATAAATACATAAATGAGTTATGTAGCCATTAAGTCAGAGAATTACAAGGAAAACACAATTTTAAAAGATACTATATTTTTTTACTATTATGTTTAATTGAAAATATAAAAACCTTTTAAAAATGTGTTGCATTTTCCCCTCCCTTCTCCCCCTAAATACTAAAGTGATCACACAAGGAGCCAGTGTTAGTCACACAAGATGAATCTCTTTTACTCAAGGTCAAATGAAAGTAAACAGTCAATGGGATACTCATCTTCAGATAATTGCCTATTTGGTGGACCTTCGTACATGTTTCACATCATCATCCCAACCAATTTCTAATTTGCTGCTTAATATAAAGACTTGTAATGTTCTGGAAATATAAATTCATACTACCCTCAAACATATAGGATACAATACAAAGAAAATACGGTTAACAAAACATATGGTCATTGAAGAGGTCTTTGTTTATTGGCTGCAGGGTTCAACATTTTCTTCATGTTGCAATAAGTAACATTAGTCTTATTTTTGGTGCACAAAGGTGTTCTCACCGCTCTTTGTTCAAGGGGCTCAGCTGCAGTGCTAGCATGATTTTCAGTTGATCACTCAATGCTGATGATCAATGAGGCAAAAAAACCATGCAACAAGTGTTAATTGGTTAAAATTAGTCTGAGACTATATTTATATATGTACATAGAGAATGTTGAACACTGTAACCTGCTTGCAGTCTTATATTATCCCAACCAAGCGTCTGTACAGTTACATTCTGATGTAAAATACTGTTTTTTTCATTTAAGGTTTGGTGTACAGGCAACTTATTCATTTAGCCGTTTCTCTACATGGGTTCTAGTCTACTTACTTTCAACACACACGATTTCTACACAGTCTGGTTCAGTCACATTTAATAATACAAAGTGGGGTAGCACCAGATAACTCTGGGCTGTGATTGCAGAGAACCCAATTCTCAATGCTTTTGAGTAACAACTCTGGAGGCCATGAGGACCATTTGCTATAAGGTGGGTCCATAGGAAATAGCCAGCCCTGCCAAGTACAGTTAAACTCACCATTTCTGGCAGCTGTCCCTGTAGCACTAGTAGAATTCTCACAAGTACCTTTGTTCCATGCGTTTAGGAACTTTGAAGTCCCATTGACTGTTGCTGGGACTTAAGCACTTTGGAAAGTTTTACCCTACATCTATTTTTATCAGGAAGATTTTAGACTTGAAAAAGTAGGTGACAAAACAAACTCAGCTGGAAAGCAAAATATTACAGTGACTGGCTGAAAGCAATGTCAAAGGGGATTTACAAGCACTTGCACGTGTGGACATAAGGCTGTAGCTACTTGGATCCAGTTGTGGCCTTAGAAGTTTCAGAACTGAATGCTGGTACAAGAAGATATTTTGGAAATTTAATGTGTTATCTCCCCTTGCAAGTCAAACTAAATTTATCCCTCTTTTTAGAAAAGCCCATCACATCCTTTCTGCAAATGGAGGGCTGTGGATAACAGCATGATTCAGGTCACATCACACTTCAACCTGTGCAAAACTTCAGAGGCTCCCCTACTTTCGTTTCAAAGCCAGGTTTGCAATGGTGAGCAAGGTGACCCGACTTATGGTTCTGAACAGGGACTATGCAAACCCAGGTTGGTTCATGTGGCTTTGCCTCAGTCAAACTTTGCCTCAAGGTTGAGTAAATCCAACGAGAAGAAAGTGAACCCATTCTCAAAGTTTAGATGAGCCAAGCCTGCTCAAGCTTATACATTTCTAATAATGGCTTCTATCAATGATGTGACATATGCAAGGGGTTGAACAGACTTGGAAGACATCCTGTGGTGGCTGGGGGGAATTGCAAAGACTTTGAATGGAATTTTACATACACTGTGGTCTTTAAGGCACATCACCGCCCTGCTAATACAATATAATTGATCATGGAGAATGTCTTTCATGTTACCATTTCAAGGTGTAATAAGCTCGTGTTAAGTTTTCCAAACTAAACAGATTTCTTACACGCTTGTATTTGACATCTGTCTCTATATTTATCTGGAGGATGATGGATATGGCAAATTTCAGTTCTCCAGAGGTGGTGGTTGTGCAGCACAATGGAAAAAGCTATCAGACCAAACAAGAATAACCAATTGATTAACAGACTGACCTGAGCAGCAAAGCTTTCCAGGCTCATGTTAACCATAGTGCTTTCTCATACTAAAAGAACTTCCATTCTAGTTGTCAAGCTTCAGTATACATGATTAAAATTACTGCTGCTTCAATAGTCAAAACAGTAACTGGGCAAACAAAACCCTGTTTACTCTTATTTGTCGTCTATATGGTATACTTATGGAGCTCAACAACACTTCAGTACATTCCTTGGTAGTTTTTTATTCCAGTGGTGCCTCAGCTCCATTGATTTAATGCTTTGGAGCTACAGGATGGAACAATTCCAAATAAAAAGATCAGGGGCTCCCACCTCACATTCTCTTATGTAGTGTAGTGCAATAATATGCTAAACGTCCAGTATGAAAGTGCAGAGTAAGGGCATTTTAAGAGACTCAAGGTCCAAATAATATGCCAGCCTCACTTAAGCCAACCTCCTGCTAATGTCACTGGGACTCCTGCCTGCGAGAACTGTAGGTTTTGATTTTTAGGGATTAATAAAAAACCAACCTAAATCCTCCTACTCTGGAATATTAGGTTTCATTAAAAATATTTAAGCTTTTCACTTGACAGAAAACAACTGACTAGAGCTGTACAGAGAGTTCTACTTCAGATTTTTAGAAGGGCTATTTTAGAGTCTGGTACATCTAGCAATTTCCTCAGAGCACTAATGACATTCAAAACACATGGATTTGTATTTCTTGTGGTTGTCCAAGCTGGTGAATTTACCAGCCCATTTTGGCTAGTCAAAAAGGGGACTCTTCATTCAGAGTGCCTGTGGCAGATCTGTTAACACAGTATAAAATATACCAAAATGACTGGCTGACTTTCTTAGCCCTTTAAAAACTAGACATTAGCAAAACTCCAGTCCAGATACAATACAGCAAGACAGTATTGTCTTGCATAAGGCTATAGAATTTGTACTGCTTGATCTTAGAATTGTCCATACATTCCTGATTAGTTTAGTATCATGCCGTGTTTGCCATTTATTCTGAAAATATACACAGCATGAACTGTTTGGGTCTCCAGCCCATGAGAATTTAGGCTATTTAATCCTACCATATTGACATCAGCCTCGGGGGGGGGGGGGGGGGGAGAAAGACATGGCTGGAGACAGAACAGTACTCAGACACCTAAGTCACATTTCCAAATGGGTAAATTTTCCTATTCATAATATTTACTAATCTCAGAGTATTTGGTTCAAATGTTCCAATTGCCTCTAGAAGTACAAATGTTCTCTCTCTTCTCCCTCCCCACTGCAATAAACAGTTAAAGGAAAATTGCATCGATTTGCTTAGCCCAGCAGTACGAAAGTGCAGAATTAGGGCATTTTAAGAGGCTCAAGACAAAGACTGGAGGTTGCTCTCTTGCCAAAAGTGATTTAATTCTTGACACAGGGATGGGAGGAACAATGTTTAAGACAGTCTCTAACCTGCAATAATATTGGTTAGCACTAACAAAATAAACTTTACTGGTTAATGAGTTACTTAAAGCTGAAATAGTTTGACTAAAGTGAATGGGAAATTGGCCTACAGTCTCTTGTAGAGTGTTCACATTGCCAGTGTTAGAAATACCATCACTTTGCATTAAGTTGACTTTTTCCAGTCTTAGGCTCCAATAATGCATATTCTAATTTAGGTTTAAAGTGTAACTATAAACAGACTGACAAGTACTTCTTACCAGATGGAGCCATCATGCTGGGTGAGCAATAAAGATACAGTCTACCTTTAAGCTGTAGTGGAACCGTTTCCATGGATTCTGGGCAGAAACCAAGCTGAAAAGCTTTATTTGAAAGTCGCCTGATGCTACTGAGAGAATAACAACAAAGCAGTTTGGGAAAAGGTCAAGGGGAAAACCAAAGATTTAGGCTTTAAGCACATGCCATGCTGGTAACGGCAGTGCCAGCATGGAGCCTAGGGTGGTTATATTCTGAGGGCTTGTTTATACATGTAGACAAGCCCTGAAAAGTAACTAAGAAGGGTATCTGCTCTCTCAACTGATCTCTTTCCTGTGTGTATTTTAGAGTCTGCCAGTTACTGCATTGGCTCTGCAGTGCTAAGAAAGGGAACTATGCTATATTCTGGCTCCCCCATCAGAATTGTTAACTGAATGCTGGTTGCAGAGTATTTACCAATTGAACTTTCAGATTCCCAGAGAAGTTTACAGGGCTATTATTTAGAAAAACATGCATTACTGCTAAACACAGCACACAACTACAAGCCTCCCACAAGGTCATTTCAGTTACTTTTCAGAGAAGAACTATACTTAAGCTTGTCTTTAAAGAAAACCCTCTGTGCCTCAGTACAGTGAATCATCACAGAAACTAACAAACATAGAATCCAGGGAAATTGCTGAGTCAGTCAAAAGCTTCTGGGAGGAGAACTCGTTACGCTGCAGTCCTGCGAGTGCAGAAGGATAATAATAATCTGAACGTATTTGGTACTGGAGTCTAGTTATGCTCTCCCATTGCTCTATACATTAAGACTTGGGTTTACTCCTACATCATAGCAGCAGCAGTACTGGAACTGGACTACAGATTTTCTAGAGCAGCATTTTCTTCCCCTCGTATGTTGGCTCTTTCCCTTAGACCATTCTAGAGCAGGAAGTCTTCACTGTTCTTTGGTAAATGGGGAAACGGTCATCACGGAATAAAGCTGTCTTAGGAATTCAGGAACGACACACCAACAGAAATAGAGCATTAAAAGCATTATTTTAGCTCCATCCTGACCAACTGCACATACCACAATGGCAACACATCTTGGTTGCATCTCTTTCCTTACCCCTTCTGACTAGTAAAATATTCTGTTGTCCCTTGCATCCCAAAACACATGCACACAAAGCCATTATAACAAGGAGGGCATGGACAAGAGTCTATGAACAAAGTTCATTGGTACATCATTATGAAATCCTAAAGTTGTTTCTCTCAACGAAAATAAAGTTCAACACATTCTGTACATGTTGGTTTCTCAGTTATAAAGTAAACACGGTAACAAATTGTTCATAAAGCATTGATTTTGTTTTTAAACACAGCCCCTTCTGGTTTTGTTTTTGAAAGTCCTCTAGTCAGAACACTATAAAGAGATGTATTACTATTGTGTGCAGATGGTGCATGACAGCAGAGGAAGGAAAAGAGAGGCACTTTGATTGGCTGGTATTCTTAACTTCCCTTTTTTTCTGTGTAGGTTTATGTTCCTGACACTAGATGGTAGCGTTGTCACAGAAAACCATCATGGATAGGCACTTGGCAGCAAAATTCCAAGGCAGTGCCCAGCGCTCTGCTATGTCATCAGAATTGGTTTCTGCCGCACTTCCAGAATATCTAAACAGACAAGGGAAGACAAGTTACAGTCCATATTGAGAATATCTGGCAAAAGTTATAATTGTTAAACAGCAAGTCAGAGGAACCAGTTATCTAATCATGGATTGCATGTTAGTCAAATTGTTTTCACACTAATTCAGAAGGGGATTAAAAAGCAGAACTGTCACATCATATACCACCAAATTCATATTAATTTCTTGTTCCGCATTACAGTGTAGTGGTAAACAAGAGCTATGTGCCATCAGAGAGAGATGACAACTGATCCAATGTATAGTTTTTATAGGGTATGGGGTCCTTTGACAGGAACGGTGCAGTTGTACGGGGATCCTTTCAGATAACATTGTTAGACAGTGGAATAGTCTTCCAAGGGAACTGGTGGGAGCCCCATCACTAAGAAATTACTGTAGCAAAACAAGCTTTTGCTGCCACTGAGAAATGCACCCAAATTCTGTTCTCACAGACCAATGGAGCATCCGGTTTTCTTGAAGCCTCAGAGATAGGGTGACCAGATAGCAACTGTGAAAAAATGGGATGGGGTGGAGGGTATAGACACCTATATAAGAAAAGGTCCCAAAAACCGGGACTGTCACTATAAAAACGGGACATCTGGCCACCCTACACAGAGACAGAGACAAACATTGACTGCTGGCCTTGGTTACAGATGACACAAGACCTAAGGGATTTTGGAACATTTTTGCTGTGTTCTAATTCAGCAATACATTCATTTGGAAGAGCACTTTTGAGAGTCAGGCCTCATTTTCAACATGGGCATTGAAAGGCAGACACTTAAATCTGTATTTAGGTGCCTAAATGGGCACTTGAGATATTTAATAACATTTAGAAATTGGGCTGCCAGTCTCTTCTTAATAAGGCAACAGAAAAAGAGTAAGGATTAATATTTGGTATAAAAGAGGGTTGATTTATATTTCATAATTAGGAGGCAGATCAAATAAGTTCACACAAAGTTGCAAAAATCAGGTATTAGTACAGATTCGAGATTCTCACTAGCTCCCACTCATACTTGTAAACAATGAAACCAGGTACATCTTTCTATCCAGTTTTCCCCTCTGATTGCTATAGCTGTGATTATAGTCGCTTGTTCTGGGAATTATCTGCAAAGACAGCCAAACATCCTCCCCACAAAGAGCTATCCCACATGGCAGATTCATCAGTGCTGAAATGCTGACCACCCGCAGATATATATAGATATAGAATCTGTTCAGCTGTGGGTTGGATGTAGACACTGATTCTTGTAAGCCTGCCTTTTAAACATTTTCCTATGCAGAGCCTCAGAAGGGTGTGTTAGCTATCAGCAAATATTTGAGGATGGAGGCATTTATGCCAACCAATAAACAAGTATTAAATGCCAGAAAAAAACATACACTTTCTACTTATTCCAAAATGCCTATAGTAGGAGAGATGGGTCTTGGTGAAGGTTCCAGTTATGCAGCAGAAACATATTCTCAACATCCTAGAAGTGATTTTATAATATAAATAAATAGTTATTCATTAAGATAAATCTGTATCTACGGTTACCCATTTTCCTCAAATATTCTTCAGAGTCTACTTTTAATTATGCAGGGCCAATTCTTACTATAAGAATGGAACTTAAATGTGTAGTTTTATTCTGAATTACACTGATCACTGTATTCAATGAAAGGGCAAAATGCTAACCATATATATCTCTTTGCTATCTACAGCATTTGCCACTGCCTCAGTTTCACAGTCTGTAAAAGGGGGATAATACTGATGCATCTTTGTAAAGTGCTTTGAGATCCCTGGATAAAAACTAGCATATAGTTGCAAGCTATTATTATAATAGGATAGTGCAACTGGAGGCATGATAGGCATGTCAGTTCTCTCTTTCAGCGTTAGTTGGATATGTAATAAAAGTTCCCCTATTACAAGTCCACCCCCTCTTCAAGCAACCTCACAGGAAGACCCTGACAAATAGATAATGTTTATAATATTCCTTGAATTGCAATAAATTTGGGGTTTTACTGGAACTGCAAGAAGTGATTTCATTAGGTGAAAGCTCTGCACACAGACAAACCAATCTAGTACCTATCAGCTCACATGTCCCAGGTGAGCTCAACTGCTGGACTGGAGCACGAAGAGAGAGATGAATTCTAAGATACAGGAGGTCCAAGTAACAAATACCTTCCCAGATCAAAACCAGCTCCTTCGATTGCACCCAAAAAAATATCTTTGAGCCCGTGTAGACTATGGAGCACAGTTGTATTATAGCATGAAACATTATGTAAATGGGCAACTAAATATTGCACTGCCTTAACTTGCTAAGTGGTCTTAAAGGGTAACTTCATGGACAGGGTATTACAATGCTCCAATCTGGAGCTGAAAGGGGCATGGTTAGGTTTGCCTCAAGATAAGTGCCACAGTCTCCAGACCGACATAAAACAAGAACACTTGATCACTGCTGCTTTCTCCGCATCCATAAGCAGCCCAGGATCCTACAGGAACTCTAGACTGACAACCTTATCATGGAAAGGTTTGTATGCTCCCTCAATTGATTGCACTAGTGCAGATCCTTCCAGTTGTTTCCCTCAGCCCATCAATAATTTCTGTCTTTAGTAGACAGATTGGAGTTAGCTGGATATAAATCTGTGCACTGGTGTACATATATCACCTTGTATATCAACTTACATGGCCCTTGAAAATAGTGCAATGGGAGGGGAGTGTTTAGGAGTTCTACATAGATTGTCAAGAGCAAAATATATGAAGGGCGTTTAACCCCACTACTGAAAGCCTATGTCGTGGCTGTGACATAGGTCAACTAACTGGGCAGTATTCAATCGACGTGACTGTAGGGAAAAAACAAAGAAAATATCATTTGATAGTTTTATAGGAAGCGTAACCCTAAGACACTAGCTAACTCACAGGAGTGCGTCACCTGGGGACTAGCCCATTTCTGGTATTTATGGGAAGATCTGAAAGGTTTCACCTGTTAAAATTCGATGCAGTGGCAAAGTGACATAGGTTAAATGTGCATAGAGTAGAAAGTTTTCATCTGTTCTGTTTAACTTCAGCCATGAGCCAACCAGAGACCGTCCTGTTCCAGATAAGGACCGTGACCTTAGATTCGAAGCATTTTGCAGATCTGTCAAGGTAGAAGACAATAACCTTAAAGTAATTCTGCTTTATAGCCACCATGTCCCTGGCACGTTCAGATATCAGTTTCATCTTGAAAAGAACAAATAGGATGGTAGTGGTGGGGCTGTAAATTATCATCTAGAGCTGAATTCCATGCAGGGCATTGATACACTTTCATCAGGCAGAGGTCATTAGTAGCAGTTGAATGCAGGGTCTTGCACGGCATGTACCATTACCACTTGAACTAACAGAATGACTCCATTAGCTGCGGGAAGTAGTAAGCTGTTATCCTCTAGTGGTCCACCAACAGTGTGGAGCTTGGGCTCTTCTGGAATGTTGGATACAGAGATGTTCTTGATCACAAAATATCCCTGTACAGAAATTGCTTATATGGAAAAGTAATATTAGGAAATTAATGTATTTTTAGCTCTCAACTAAGATCAACACCTGGAAGCCAGAAGAGGCAGAATCATGTGATGAGCCAGTTCAGTTAACCCCTCCATCAAGTATTCCATGGACCACAGCTTGGGATCCCCTGCCATATGGCTTTCTTTACATTGTCAATCTACAGTTCCACAAATAGGCTCTCAAAGGAACAACAGGGACTTAATAAGGAACAACAGTGATTAAAAGTAGAGATTGGGCTGAACAAAAACTTGGGATCTGAAATCCCAACTCTAGGGGGGAGTTGCTCAAAACCCAAAGATAGATCAGAACCAAAAGGCCTTAACAGTAGAAAAATGTGTAGGAGTGACCATTCCAGCAACATCTAGAACAAAGGATGTGAGAAGACAATCTCATCTTTCCTCTTCACTGTCAGAGACCTAGAGGTGTTCAGCCCATAAATCTAGTTTTCCCTCCCACTCAGACACCATTCCAAGAGATGCCTTAGAAAACCCAAACATACATAGATCTAGCATTATAGGGTCAAAAGAGTATTATCAACAATTTAGTTAGTACGTGACCAATTCAATTCAATTAGACTTTGGACAAAGTTTTGAAAAGCATGTAAGTGACTTAGGTGCCTAACTCATTTTCAAAAATGATTTGGGCGCTACTGAAAACTTTACCCCACATCTAATTGATTAAATTCTGATTGAATAAAATCTTCAGAAAAAAAAAAAGTAGAGACAGCAGAAGTGTCTCTAAGACGAGCAGAAGGAAATATGCCCCATCTGCAAACTAAGGCAGAGGAAAAAGTAGGGGTTCTTAGAGGATTGCGCATCAATCTTTCAGAATCCTGAGATCAGAGCCTCACCACTGCTCTGGTCCCTTTATGCCTGGTAAAAAGGCCACAGCACCATAACTGGGCCCTAAAAGCTCTGTCTGGAGCAGGATTCCCCAGGCACAAGCATGGTGGAAGAAAGCCAAAAGGCTGTCCTCCAAGGATCCCCTTGCAAATCCTGGCATAGTGGCAAATCCTGCCAGTGGCAGCATGCAGTACTGAACACATTCCAGGCTATGCAGAGGTCTACAGGGCAACGCAGAGAGGCTGCCACAACTTAGACAAGCCCCCAATGATCTTTAAGTAATACCAAGGGCTTCTTCATTCTCCCAGAGCAGCCCAAGACTGGGGAGGACTCCAAGGTGGCTTAGTCCTCCTTCCCCCTGGTTTGTAAGTTCTGTGCTATGCCTCTGAAGTTCAACAACTTTCCAAGCAAATAACATTAGGATTCTTGGGTTTCTGAAGTCCACGAACCAAATTAATGTACGTTACTTATCTATTTTTAAATTCTAGATCTATGGGTAAATTTAACCCCTTATTACAATATGTTAAAACATGTCTGGATTCCCAACAAAATTCCAGTAATTCTATCTGGTTCTAACGCTCTAACCTGAACTACTCTTGTAATATTTGTGTCCTTTTTAGATCAGGAGAGATTGAGTTCAGTGGTTTTGAGATTAAAATAAAAGATTTATTATAATGGTAAACAAATCTATATTTTCTTAGGGAGTGAAAGAGAGAGACCCCAACTCAGATGAGAAGAGCAAAAGTTTAAGTAGTGAGAATTTTTGTCACTAGGATTTACTGTTTTAGAGTCTGATTCTGCAAAACATTACCAAGTAAAGTATTTTACTACCATGGATATAAACTGGCCATCAGCAAGTGTAGGCTTGAAATTAGATGAAGGTTTCTAACCATCACAGGAGCGAAGTTCTGGAACAGCCTTCCAAGGGGTGTAATGGGGCAAAAACCCTAACTTGTTTCAAGACTGAGTTTCATAAATTTATAGAGAGGATGATATAATGAGGTGGCTTACAATAATGTATGGCCCATCCATGACTGCTATTAGCAAATATCTCCAATGGCCAGAGATGGGACACTAGATGGGGAATTACTCTGAATTACTGGAAAGAATTCTTTCCCAGGTGTCTCGCCCACATACTCAGGGGCAAACTGATCACCATATTTAGGGTTAGGAAGGAATTTGTCCTCAGGTCAGAATGGCAGAGACCCTAGGGCTTTTTCACCTTGCTCTGCAGCATGGTGCATGGATCTGGGGTTGGTTTGAACTAGAGTAAATAGTGGATTTTCTGTAACTGGAAGTCTTTAAATCAAGATTTGAGGATCTCAGTAACTCAGCCAATGGTTATAGGCCTATTGCAGGAGTAGGTGGGTGAAGGTCTGTGGCCTGCAATGTGCAGGAGATCAGAGTAAATGATCATGAGTCTTGTCCCACTGATATCACAGTAAGCATTATAACCAACTGCAAGTTCAGCAGGATTAGTCCCACAGGCCCCTATCCCACAGTGTGTTGCATGCAGCAGGAACACAACAAAGTCAGTGGGACTCTGTGTAGTCACAGCAGTTTTCCCCCACACACTACACAGTACAGGATTCAGGCCTCGGCTCTTGTGCTAAACTTTGTCTAGTCACGTATGCGAAGTATATCTTCTCTGGTTATGATGAAGTGGTGAATTTTTTGAATAGTAAAATTAAGGGAAAGGGGAGGGGAGTGGTGTCTGTGGATGAACATTTCAAGAATTTAGATGAAGATCAGCGCCTTGGTTTTATTTCACAGAATTTGAATGGAATGTTGTTACTTAAGTTTGCTTTTTTATTTGAAACTCTGATCTAGAAATGAATGTATTTACCAAGACATTAATTGGGGATTAATTTTGCATGGTTTCTGGTTGGATAATCTGGTCAAAATTAATTGAAATTTGACTGATATAAAATAACAGTGACTGATCATTTCTATTAACATTTTGTGATCTAGAAAATACCACCTTTGTATTTACATATTATCATATCAATAGGGGCCTAATTTTGTTGGCCTTCCTACTGAATACATTTTTGAATATGAAAAACAGTTCTGACTTTCTCCTCACTGAGTTTTTATATTATAAAATTATGATCTGGAAAATAAGGTGATTGTATTCACTTATCTTCTGAATGGGGCTCAATATTAATCTTGTTGGTTTTTGCTATTAAATAACCAAGTCTAATTTAATTAGAAGTGGAGAGAGAAAATATGCTAAGATCTGTATGAAGTGTTAAATCATTAAATGCATAAATGCAATTCATTAGTAGTATCAAACATTTTATCTGTGCACTTAGGACCTGATCCAAATCCCATGTAAGTCAATGGGAGCCTTTCCATTGGCTTCAATCAGCTTTGGGTCAGGCCTTTATTACACAAGGTATTCAGAGGACTTGCCAATGAGTTTATTGTACATTACTGCCTTGGAAAGTGCATCTGAAATGAAGGATTCTCTTCTCACAATTTTCCCCCCAGATAAAGAAGGGTATTATTAGAAACAGGTAGGAATAGTCAGGCTCAGATTTTCAAAAGTTTTCTAAAGGGGTTAGGCACCCAATGAAAATCAGTGCATGCTTAGTACACTTTCAGTGGAGTTGGGTGCGTATCTTGCTCAGGGCCCCTTGAAAATCTCAGCTTTGATCTCTTTCCTGAGCTCTGTACCCTAAGCCAGACCACTTGGGTTCTCTGATGTAATCTCCCTCACCTCCGTCATCGTCGTCTCGAAAGAATTCCTCGCTATCATTTGCCGAATGGGATTTTTTCATCTCAGCGATCCGATTTCGGGGCACTTTCCTCTTGAGGGATGGGGAGAAAAAGGATGGCCGATTGTTGCGCTCTGGGGTCGGTGGTGTGCTGAAGGAAGTGACCTGAAAGGGAAATAGGAACAGAAGAATTTTTGGAGGCAGAGTTTTATTTGATGACTTCTGCTTCTATGTAATGAGTTCGTAGATTCTAAGGCCAAAAGAGATCACTGTGATCTACCTAGTCTGACCTCCTGTATAACACAGGCCTGGGGACTTCCCTGAATTAATTCCTGTTTGAACTCTCTTTTTATTTGGCTGTCTCAGTAAGGCTAGCAAAAATCACCACCACAGCTGGCACTCTCACTGGTTGTTTCAGCTCAGTGCTCAAGAAGCAAATGAACCATGGTGACTGGACAACCCTTCATGCGTAGAAGTGTTTGTCAAGGTGGAGGTAGAGCAGAGTGTCTGGCACCGCGGCTATTTGTGCTGTGAGTAAAGAGAGGGCTTCATTCTTCAGGGCTGTCTATTGAGCACCTCATTCATAGGAAACAAAACTAGAGAAAAAAAGATTTATAAACTGATTTGGGTAACAATAAAATATCAACCTTAACATTAAAAAGTTAGGCAAAACGGAGAAGAAAACAAGAATGAACAACTATTAAAGTTGTGGATTGGCATATGAATGGCACATGCACCTTGCCTTGGAAATGAGGTTGACTTTTCTTGCCTTATAGAATCTTTTAGACAGGTCATTCTGTCTCTCAGGCAGGGGCAGGAAGCAACTACTTAGACCAGGATGCTGATGTGAAAATGAAGTCAGTACATCATTATGGCAGATGAGAAAATGTGCGGAAAGGACTAGTAATGATTAGTTAGGCTAAGTGATGACAATTGCATGGAGACAGCTGCCTAGAGTGGAGCAAAGCCAGAGATGGAAAAGTAAAGAAAAGACAGTTTCTCTTGGGCCAAACCAGGACTAGGACTGACCAGTTCAGGAACGCTTTCACTGCCTTGGTTGAGTGCTGCTGCTAGTATTACTTTAATGGTTTCTTTTCAAGTGAAAAAATGGATAGCTACTTTGCTGCCTCAGAAATCCCCATCTCATCTTTTCTTCTCTACACAGTTAATTTAACAATTTTGCTGCTGCTTGTAGGATGCAGTCTTACATTGCTCGTATCTGTCCCTACGTATAAAGAGCTATGTGACACATGATTGAGGATGACAACAAAGTCTGCCAGGTTGGTGGTGCACTGCAGAATCCCTCCACATCATTTCCTCTGTCATTCATATGAAAAATTCAAAAAGCTTTTTTACACCCATCTGATCCTCCTGGTTTTGTATTTAGTCTCTATTTTCTGGCTGCCTTAGAAAAAGCATTTTCTTTATTCTGTACGCACTAGATATAACACATACATGGAAAAACAATAGTGAACTATGCATAATTAAAACCAATACCAGCAGGGTAATGTTAAGACACAAGCAATCATCAAGTAAGAACACTGGAAGTCTTGAGACACGAAGAGACCAGGAACTCCCTCCAGGCCTGGCTCGTCAAAGTTGCAATGCAGGGAAACGAACTCTACTCTAGGATATGAGACACCAGGCTTGGTTAAGGAGCCTGATCTTTCACTCCGCAGACCAGCAAAGCATGGAGAGCACTGTGGTGGCAGTTCTTCTCGCCCCTTTGGGAAGCCACGGACACAGGAAGGTCTTTTCACACTGCAGTGGCCAAGCAAAGGGGTAGCATGGATGAGCTTTGAAGAAGTCCTGTTCAACTCTCCTTGACCAAACGAGATTGCTTGTTTCATGCATGAGGTCAGATGAGCAGAAGTGTCCCTTCTCACCTTAATCTATGAAACAGGGACTTTGAGGAAGGAGGGGCAGAGCCCACTGCTGAGACCTATAGAATAAAGTGGCTTGCAGTCATTGTTTCCTGGGGCTCGTTTGGTAGTGTATTCCATCCATAAACCATCACTGTGTATAGGAGAATACATCAGTAACTGCCTAGGCTAGGACCTGGCTCTTAAAAATAGTTCTAACACAGTATGGCATCATCCCTACCAGCCAGGCAAAACAGCTTAGCTGAAACTGTGCTTAGAACTGAATTATGGCCAGATTGTGATCTCTCTTCTCACATGGAATAGTATCTTACTCCAGGGAAAGGCCCACTGAAGTCAACTGAACTAGCCTCATGCTTACAAGTTAAGCATGTACTTAAGTGCTTTGCTGGATTGGGGCCCTAATCTTTGCCTTAATAATATACAGGTCCCAGACTAAAAGTCACATTTGTGGCAAAATTCCCTGAAAGTGCCTCCTCATTGTGCTGTGTCCTATTAGATTTAGTAGTAATGCATACAATACTTTAAATTACTACAGCACCTTTTGATAGGGAACCCGCAGCTCTTATGGAAATTGCAGTGGGATCTTTTGATTTCTGCACAAAGGAGACAGGGCCTCATTTTTGACTTGCACCACCCTGACTATTGCTTCATTAAAATATCCCTCCAAAACTGTGGAGTAGTCTGATAATTTTCTATATCCACTATCTGGTCAAGAGCAATGGGCACAGAAAGCAACCAACCTACTGGCTGTACACAACATGCAGAAGCAAACTTCAGAGTCTACACGTGACTAATCACAGCCTTGGCCCACATGTTGGTTTCTGAAGCAAGGTGCATTAATGTTTATTTTGCCATCCAATATTTCTATATACTACTTACTCTCTCATGCACAGGGGATCCTGGGTTCGAATCTTCCTCCGTTCCATATGGAGAAGTGTCTCCAGTTGAAACTCGACTCACTGCCATCTCTGCATGTCCTTTACCTTGGGGCCCCTTCATCCGTACAAACTCCATGTTGCTGTACTTATAAAAGCCAAAGGACATCCTTTGAGCCATCTTAGCTGCAACGCTCACCTTCAATGCACAGAAAAGGAAAGAAGCATGTAACATGAATTGCTAAACATTAGAGCATACATTTGCTCTACACTATAATTCTATAGAACATTTGTAGAGGTGCCTGTCAGCAGGCATCTAAGCATCACACAATAACACCAATGCAAAACATTAAGGCCTACATTTTTGGAACTGTGAATTTTATGCACACACAGTTGTGCAAATCAGGGTTTGGGAGCACTTTCAAAATGTTGGTCTAAAATCAAAATAATAAATAGTAGTAGATAATGAACAACACTTAGCTCTTATATAGCATTTTTCATCTGTAGTTCTCAAAGCAGTTTACAAAGGAGGATGACATCCCCAGTTTACAGATGGGAAAACTGAGGCAACCGAGCTCAGGCAATTCCCTCACAGTGGATCAGTGGCAAAGCTAGGAATAGAACCCAGGTCTTCTGATTCCCAGTCCAGTGTCCTATCCACTAGGCAACACTGCCTAGCAAGAATAAAGAGCCGACTAGTCCAAATACACAACCAACCTGAACAAAATAGTCTGTCACAAAGGTTAACCTGATACTTTTTAAACAAACACACCAGATGTCATGGATCAGTTCCCAGTTAACAGAGAAAACAGGTTTGAAAAAGGGATAGGTCACAAAATGGTCAAGGATCAGCCTGTTGAAATAAATGGAAATTTATTCCCGAAGTTTTATGTGTTTCAAAATTCTCAGCAGTTAAAGATAATGGGTCAAATTTATTCCTGGTGAAAAATGAGTCACATTAGAGTTATACCAGGGATTAATATGGCCAAGTGAAACCAAGCAGCTTTCAAAAATACAATCACACTTTCTTCCTTTCCCTCAAGTAGTAGCAAAAAATGACAATGGATCAAAGTTCAGATTTAGAGTCCCGCCCAGTCTGCAGCTTAGAGTACTTAACAAATCTAACTGGTCTATTTCAGCTAACATAACAACGTGAAATTGCAGTGAAATCACACACATACATCATTAGCAGTATGCAGGGACATTCCTTAGCTATTATGTATTAGATCAGGGGTGGGCAAACGTTTTGGCCTGAGGCCCGCATCGGGTTTCTGAAATTGTATGGAGGGCCTATTAGGGGAGGCTGTGCCTTCCCAAGCAGCCAGGCATGGCCCGGCCCCTGACCCCCCCCCCCGCTTCTCGCCTCCTGACAGCCCCCCTGGGACTCCTGCCCCATCCAACCTCCCCACTCCCTGATGGTCCCCCCCGGGGACTCCTGCCCCATCCACCCCCCCTGCTCTCTGTCCCCTGCTTGCCCCGGATCCCCTGCCCCATCCAACTCCCCCTCTCCTTCCTGACTGCCCCCCGGGACCCTGCCCCATCCAACCACACCTTCTCCCTGACCGCCCCCAAACCCCCCACCCCTAACTGCCCCCCGCCACCCCATCCAATCCCGCCTCTCCTTCCTGACTTCTCCCCTGGGACCCCTGCTCCCATTCAATGCCCCCGTTCCCCGCCCTCTGACCACCCCGACCCCTATCCACACCCCTGGCCCCTGACCACCCCCCAAACTCCCCTGCCCTCTATCCACCCACCCCCCCACCGCGCTGCCTGGAGCGCCGGTGGCTGGTGGTGCAGCTGCACCAGGACAGGCAGCCACGCAGCACAGAGCACCGGATCAGGCCCTGGCTCTGCAGCTGCGCTGCCACAGGAGCTCTCTGCTCCGCCGCCCAGAGAATTGCACCAGTGGCGCAGTGAGCTGAGGCTGCGGGGGAGGGGGAACAGCAGGGGAGGGGCTGGGGATTAGCATCCTGGGCCAGGAGCTCAGGGGCCGGACAGGACAGTCCCACAGGCTGGATGTGGCCCGCGGGCCGTAGTTTGCCCTCCTGTGTATTAGATACACCACATTTTGACTTCCCACTAGACGTTTTCCACTCTACTGTGTCTTCTGTGTGGACACACCTTCTGATTGTACAAAACCATAGACTCACATGGCATGAGGTATAGGTGGGCTAGAGAAGCAGTCCCATGGTCTCCTGAAACTATGTTAATACAGGAGCAAAAACTATTTTTCTTGAGACAAAGTTATTCAGGCCCTCTCTTTTAAGGAGGGTGGGAGAGAAAAGAAAGTCTATGGAGTCAAAATAGAATAGGTACAGCCCTCCCTGGTCTAACAGGTGAACTGAGGCATATATTGCTGGATTCAGAATCAGACTGTTGGATCTGAGAATTAGAATTTGCTCTCATTTGGCAGAGATGTATATTTTACAATTTAAATTTCCAAAACATAAAGCCTAGCCAATGATTTAATGTCTTCTAGAGTTAGCTTGAGCTTATGGTAGAGGGAGGCAAACCTCCTTAGTTAAGATCAACTTTTTAGCATGTTTGTCAGAGCCGCCTTCAGTGCTGAGGTCTCTGGGAGGTTCTATTGCTGGTTCTCACTCTCTCTGGAATTCTACACCAAGTGTATGTGAATTATAAGCCATTACTGTTAATATTTCACATTTCCATAGCAAATTAATACTTCAGCGGCTAAGAAAACTGCAGGAGTCCTTTCAAACCATGTGGACATACAGAATGCACCCGAGAGAGAGAGGTACAGTAACTCCTTGCTTAACGTTGTAGTTATGTTCCTGAAAAATGCTACTTTAAGCGAAATGATGTTAAGTGAATCCAATTTCCCCATAAGAATTAATGTAAATGGGGGGAGGAGGGGTTAGGTTCCAGGGACATTTTTTTTGCCAGACAAAAGACTATATTTTTATATATATACAGACACACACACACACACACATATATATATATATACACACATACACACACACACACACATACATACACACACACACACACACAGTATAAGTTTTAAACAATTTAATACTGTACACAGCAATGATGATTGTGAAGCTTGGTTGAGGGGGTGGAGTCAGAGGGTGGGATATTTCCCAGGGAATGCCTTACTGCTAAAAGATGAACTAGCACTCGGCTGAGCCCTCAATGGTTAACATGTTGTTAATGCAGCCTCACACTCTACAAGGCAGCACAAATGGAGGGAGGAGACACAGTATGGCAGAGAGAGACAGAGACACACACCGTGTGTGTGAGATATAGATGCGCATTACCCCTTTAAGTATGCTGACCCCACTCTAAGTACACTGCCTTTTTAAGCAGATCAGCAAGTTGAGACAGCAGCTACTGCCAGCAAGCTCCCTCCGTCCTGAGTCCTGTCATGTCCTTACCCGCTCTGTGGAGATGGGGGGCAGGAGCGGGGAGGGGGACACCCTGACATTTAGCCCCTCTCTCCTCTCCTCCCCAGCAGAGCAAGCAGGAGCCTCCCGGAAGCAGCTCCAGGCAGAGGGTGGGAGCAGCACAGGGCAGTGGGGGGAGGGACAGCTGAACTCCCAGACAATTGATAGCCTGCTGGGAGGCTGCCAAGCTGATAGGAGGGCTGCCGGTCCACCCTGGTTCCAAGCCCCCACCAGCTAGCTCCAATGGGTTGCTCTTTCTGCAAGCAGTGGACACAGCAGGCAGCTGCCGAACGACGTTATAAGGGAGCATTGTGCAACTTTAAACGAGCATGTTCCCTAATTGATCAGAAACATAACAACGAAACAATGTTAACCGGGCCGACTTTAAGTGAGGAGTTACTGTATTTATGTAACAAGACACAACAGTGAAAGGTTAAAACCAACAGGTGTAAAAATGCTAAGAGGGTCTTCCCGGCTCTTAGAAGATAACTATAGGTACCTCTGAAAAGAAGAGGATCATACAAAAAAGTGATATGGCAAAACATTCTTTTCATTACAGAACTGGAAAGTTTCTTAGGATTCACACCTGGTTCACTTAGATTCCTTGGGTTCCTACCAATTTTAAATCCCAGTCAAACATCAAGAGTTACAAATCCTGCCTGACTCTTCTGATGACTTCAGTTCACCACGGCTGTGTGAACTAAAACTAGTGGATTTTCGTACAGCCGTTTCTGGTAACTTTCAAAGCCATGAAGACTAGCAGACACTCAGCATAAGTAGCTTGAGAAGACAAAAAGCTGATGGCAGCATCAATAGTACTGAAAACATCCTGGAAATTTCACTACCACCATTGCTGCAAAAGAGGTTCTCTGGAGAGGAAGTATCTTACCCTGTTGTCATAGACCTTCTTGAGTGCTTCATAACGGATGGATCCCTGGAAGATCACTCCTTGAAAGGTGTTGCTTTTGTCACTGGCCACTAGCTCCACGCAGACCATCTCGCCTTCCCCCACGGTCATGTCACTGAACACCTGCCATTGCATCCAAGGAAACCAAACACTTAAAGGAAAAGCTGTAGTGATTAGATCCTTTAGACATAGCTCAAGTGTGTTCAGGATCCAGGGTTTTACTTCAGCCCATTGTACAGACAGGGGCCACTTGGAAAATTCAGATCTAGATCTGTGTTTCCAATACCCAGAAAGTTTGGGGTGTTAAGTTACGACCCAGGAACTTCTTAATGCCAACTGGCAATGGGGTATGGAGGAGTTACAGAAATCTCATGAGTTTCATGTGTACGTTCTAGTTCACCACAGAATGTCATGTGAGATTTCAAATGAAAGCCGGTGTCACACTGGTCATTAATACTGTTGTGAATTGTATGTACAGATACTATATAAGGAGTTATGTCTATATACTGAAAATAGGTTTGTAAAGTCTGTATCAAGGGATCAACCACCAGCAAAGATGAAAAACCAGTTTTCCTCCAGATAGGAGGTAAGAAATGTGCATCACTCTGTTGTAACGTAAATTAAGTACCGTTAAACACAATGGTTGCCCGTTTACATATGAAGTCAAATATTAAAGACGTAAGCTCAACAGGAAAGGAGCACACAGGAAAAAACAAGGCCCAGGTGATTATCCTGTCTATGAGCAAAGATAATGATCTCTGGGGTATTTCTAGAAAGCAAAGAAGATACCCCTTCATCCTGCACCTAGGAAGTAAACAGATAGCATGTTTGCACTCCTGAAAACAGGGTCTCAGCCAACCTTGGCTGAAACCACTGAAGAGGACTTTGGATGAGATAAACTGCCTTAGAGAGGAGGATAACCTGCTAGCTAAGTTTAGTCACTAGAAAGCATGTTATGATTTTGTTTTATATTTATCCATTTGTTTCCAATATCCTTACGCACTATGTCCTGAATCTCTAGTCTTTGATAATAAACGTATTCTTGTTTTCATTGCAAATATATCTCCGTGCTGTGGTGCCAAGCAAAATGCTGGTCTGGAGCTGAATTCTACAAGCTGGTGTGTACTGTTCCTTTGGGAACAGCAGGCTGGTAATTCTGTGAGTGTTCAGTGGATGAGGGGCTGGACACTCCAGGGAACACGCGGAGAGGGCTCAGGTGTTGATGTGTGCCTTTCATTAAACTGCACAGAGGGAGCAAGGCCTGCAGAGGTCTGGAACATAGTGCTCATGTTGCCAGAGACTGGTGGGTTCAGGGAGCTGGTTCACAGCAGGCACAGACAAAGCTGCCTCAACACTAATGGCAGGTGGTGGTGAGGTGCCTCACCAATCCTGGGTACCCCTGGGAGTGTCACATAAGATTAATGTTTCTGGAAAAAAATCATGGCTTTGCCCAGCTGGCTGGATCTTGGTCAGGGGGCTCCACGAAGACTAATTAAGTAAACTGTTGCCTTGTGGTCCAGGGCAGTGATATAGAGGTGGGAATATATCAAGTTGGACACACAATAGAAAAGGGAGATGATAGGACAAAAATGAGGAAAATTTTCCGCTCTAATAACAGACCCACCTCTTCAAAGTTATCAATCATGAAGAATATGTTAGGGTAGCTGATCTTTGATTCCTCTCCTTTGCTGTCCATTGGGTGTTTGCTTGGAGATGCAAATACTTGCTGAAAGAAATTTTGAAGATGTTATCGACCTTATTTCTTGAATGTATGTATAATTATGAATACTTAAAAATAAACCCATAGTAAAACATTGCAGAACTGGCCAAAGGCATATTATAGGGGAATTTCACCTTCCTTTAAACCCATGGGTTTCAAACTTCTTTGTGTCTGTAGTAGTTTATGCCCCTCCCCACCCTACCGCATGTCACCCTTATGTCTGTGCTGCTGCTGACAGCAGCGCTGCCTTCAGAGCTGGGTGGCCAGCCTGCAGCCACTGTTTTCTGGCCACCCACCTCTGAAGGCAATGCAAAAGTAAGGATGGCAATACTGCGACACCTCTACAATAGGCTTAAGACCCTCTTTTTTCCCCTATAGCTTCTCATGCCCCCCCAGAATACATTCCATACCCTCACAGCGGGGCACACTCCCCAGTTTGAGAACCTCTGCTTTAAGCTAGGAGTGCCAAACTCATTTTGCTGAGAGAGCTGAGCTGCATTTATAATTATAGTCTATGGCCAGGGTATACGTTTAAGACTAAATACTACTCTTAATCCAAAGTGCCACTGGTATCAATGGGAGGTTTGCACAGAGATCAAAGGTAGAATATGGACTAAGTATAAACTAGGGCTGTCAAGAGATTAAAAAAATTAATCGCAATTAATCAAGCTGCTAAACAATAATAGAATACTATTTATATAAATATTTTTGGATGTTTTCCACATTTTCAAATGTATTGATTTCAGTTACAACACAGAATACAAAGTGTACAGTGCTCACTTTATATTTATTTTTATTATAAATATTTGTACTGTAAAAGTAAAAGAAATAGTATTTTTCAATTCACTTAATATAAGTACTATAGTACAATCTCTTTATCATGAAAGTTGAACTTACAAATGTAGAATTATGTACAAAAAATAATTGCATTCAAAAATAAAACGATGTAAAATTTGAGAGCCTACAAGTCCACTCAGTCCTACTTCTTGTTCAGCCAATCGCTCAGACAAGTTTGTTTACATTTGCAGGAGATAATGCTGCCCACTTCTTGTTTACGTCACCTGAAAGTGAGAACAGGTGTTTGCATGGCACTGTTGTAGCTGGCGTTGCAAGATATTTACATGCCAGATGCGTTAAAGATTCATATGTCCCTTTATGTTTCAACCACCATTCCAGAGGACATGCGTCCATGCTGATGATGGGTTCTGCTCAATAACAATCCAAAGCAGTGCAGTGTTCATTTTCATCATCTGAGTCAGATGCCAACAGCAGAAGGTTGATTTTCTTTTTTGGTGGTTCGGATTCTGTAGTTTCCGCATTAGAGTGTTGCTCTTTTAAGACTTCTGAAAGCATGCTCCACACCCCATCCCAATCAGATTTTGGAAGGCACTTCAGATTCTTAAACCTTGGGTCGAGTGCTGTAGCTATCTTTTGAAATCTCACATTGGTACCTTCTTTGCGTTTTGTCAAATCTGCCGTGAAAGTATTGTTAAAATGAAGAACATGCTGGGTCATCATCCGAGACTGCTATAACATGAAATATATGGCAAAATGCGGGTAAAACACAGAGCAGGAGACATACAATTCTCCCCCAAGGAGTTCAGTCACAAATTTAATTAACACATTATTTTTTTAACAAGCGTCAACAGCATGGAAGCATGTCCTCTGGTATGGTGGCCGAAGCATGAAGGGGCATACAATCTGGCATGTAAATACCTTACAATGCCGGCTACAAAAGTGCCATGCGAACCTCTGTTCTCACTTTCAGGTGATATTGTAAATAAGAAGTGGGCAGCATTATCTCCCATAATGTAAACAAACTTGTTTCTCTTAGCGATTGGCTGAACAAGAAGTAGGACTGAGTGGACTTATATGCTCTGAAGTTTTACATTGTTTTGTTTTTGAGTGCAGTTATGTAACAAACAAAAAAAAATCTACATTTGTAAGTTGCGCTTTCACGATAAAGAGATTGCACTATGGTACTTGTTTGAGGTGAATTGAAAAATATTATTTCTTTTGTTTATCATTTTACAATGCAAATATTTGTAATAAAAATATAAAGTGATTACTGTACACTTCGTATTCTGTGTTGTAATTTAAATCAATATATTTGAAAATGTAGAAAAACATCCAAAATATTTAATAAATTTCAATTGGTATTCCATTGTTTAACAGTGTGATTAAAACAGTGATTAATCACAATTAATTTTTTTTAGTTAATCATGTGAGTTAACCGCGATTAATCGACAGCCCAGGTATAAATGTTTAGTTATTTATTTTGTAAGTTATTGATTTCAACATCACTCACTGAGAAAATATGCCCCTCTTTAGGGCTATTACTTTTTCTGTTCCATGTTACACTTTCATCCCCATCCTGCTTTTTCTTCCTCTCGGTGCCTCTCCTCCTTTCTCACGCTCTGCAGCAACTCCCAATTCTCACCCCCTTTCCCATTTCATTGTCTAAAATGTCCACTAATGAAATAGTGGACACTGACATTTAAAGTGTCCCAATTCTCACCCCCTTTCCCATTTCATTGTCTAAAATGTCCACTAATGAAATAGTGGACACTGACATTTAAAGTGTCCTCTTTATGCTTTAGAGGTAATGTCCTACTGAGAATAACGGGCACAAGGGTGGGGGAAGAGTTCACACTAAATAGCATTATTTCCAGCTGCCTGTTTTCAGAGTCAGGATGACAACATGGCTTTGGTTTACACTCTGTTCACATTTGGAATGTTATCTTCACAACCATGAGGTTCTGCAGAACATCCACCCACAACATGGGCCACATAAATATATCAAGTGATCTGGATCTGACACCTCTGCTTCAAACCATCAAGCATGGACCATGGCTGGAGGTAAGACATTGGACATGGATTATAGGCTTGATCTGGCATAGCAATCCTGAATACAAATTTGTATATACAGTATTAAAAAAAGTTGCTTCATGTTGACAACTGATATGAAAAATAAACCGAGTTATAGAATTTCTAATGCAAAGGCTAACAAGATTTCCCAAATATGGCAGATCTACAGTAATCACTGAGAAGCAGCAAATCTTCCATTTCATAATCCGTAATCCTGTTCAACTATCATTACCTATGGTAGCTAGATTAAAAGCTGGTGCCGATATGTCTACATACACTACAATCCCACCTTCATTTACCTGGTGAACATACCCATAAGAAGGCATGCAATGTATATACCTTGATTTTTTTTCATAGCATACTGATAGACTGATATGATATACTATGATCTGGTATTAAATGTAGAAGTGGAGTTAGCAAGACTTTTGAAACTGTTTTCTTTGAGGAATTTTCATTCCTCCCCCCTTCAGTAAGTGAGCCACGGTCATCTTCCCTCTGTGTGTGTGTGTCTGTGTGAGAGTAAGAGACAGAGCCTCATACAGAACTTTTCTATAAGAAAAAGTTTTTCTTTCTTTCTTCCCGCATCCCAAAGCTATGTCTTTGCCTTGTACAAAATAAGCGAAGCCTACAGCTATGTAAATAGCAAAGTTCACAGAGGTCACTTTTATAGCTGACTATTCCAGGTTGCCTTCAAAAGGAAAATCCTTGACAATAAATCTTGTACAGATTTCAACAAGAGACTGTTGGGTATTTTGTTGTTTTTAAGTCGGAGGATGACTTTATTTAGATTTAAATAAGGTTTTAGACATGGACAATGAGTCCTGGTCCTTGTTAACTGTTTCCCTAATTCACTAGTTCTCAAACAATTCCCTGTTCCCACTTCTGAAAGCAGGGATCCTCCCAGCCCTGATCTCATGCCTTCCCTGCCAAAAGTATCGTGGCTGGTTACATGAGAAAGCAAAGGCATTAAAGGAGACAAGCTGGAAATAAATTCACATAGAACTGGAAGGGACCTTGAGAGGTTATCTAGTCCAGTCCCCAGCACTCAAGGCAGGACTAAGTATTATCTAAAGTAGACCATCCCTGACAGGTGTTTGTCCAACCTGATCTTAAAAATCTCCATTGATGGAGATTCCACAACCTCCCTAGGCAATTTATTCCAGTGCTGAACTGCTCTGACAGGAAGTTTTTCCTAATGTCCAACCTAAAACGCCCTTGCTGCAATTTAAGCCCATTGCTTCTTGTCCTTATTTTATATCTGTGCTGTTGATTTTTGGCCTCTCGGTAGATTTGACCTTTTAGTAGGATCAAGTCTCTTCTTGCCTGCAGCCTCCAATGCTACAATCTCTCCCAGCTGCCTTTTGGTTCTGTCCTCTTCTTACTTTTGGGGCGACCTTCAGATCTGATCACAGTTGGATTTACACCAAAGAGAGACACCCAAGAAACAAAGACGCTGAGAGGCACTAGGGTGGGGTTTTGGGGGGGGGGGGGGGGATTTTAAGCCAACCTCAAAAAAACATTCTTAGAAATTAAATGAGCTCTGCTCTGGGATGTAACTAACAGGAAATGTCACTTCATGAAGACAGATGGAGGCGTCACCTTTGTGAAGCAGCTCCATAGACCACAACTTGAGACTCGCTGCCCTGGTTTTTATATAGTTGTTAGGGGTGGGAAAGTTGGGTGCAAAATGTTTGTCCTTGAAGCCTCAACAATAGTGGGATCTGCTCACCTGAGATTTCTTTTTGTGAATGTGAATATCTCCTCCATCTGAGCGAGTGCACACCGCGCAGGTGACCACATAGTCCAGCTGAAACAGACGACAGAGGTGTCAGTTGGTGGTGGGGGTGGGGAAAACAGCTGTTGAGAGCTAAGTATCGGTGCACAAAACAGAAAACACTCTACATTCATGGTTTTCAGCTTTCTGTCTGGCTTCAAAGAAAAACATTTTTGCGTTCCAATTTCCTTTCTGCCCCAGCTCACTGAACACACTGAAACCACTGCTGTTTTATTCATAGCCAAGACACACTTATTCTGACCATTACTTCAATATCTAACAGCTCTGCAAAGACCCTTACTTCGGGGTACAATCGACTACGGATGTGGGTATGGGAATCCCTCTAGCACTCTATTCAGATGCAAGGTTAGGGGTTAGCTGGAGGAGTAGGTGTGCCACATGTAGTATTTAGTTTAAGGGTGAAATGGATGAAAATCGCCTCCCTAGGCATGGAAAAAATGGAAACGTTAATGAAAAAGGGCAACACCCAGGAAATATCCACAGCCATAATGTTCCCTGCCACGTAATCTGAGAAAACAAACCTTGCAACAAACCTTTCCCAGCTGTGTTGATAATCTCAGAATTCTGACTTGCAGTGAAATGGTTCTATTATATTCTACATCAAAAAATAATGGTGAAAATTGCTCTCTGAGGAGCAACTTTGGAATTAGTCTTTTTGGTGGAGAAAGAAGGAAAATGAACACAACTCAGTACATGTGCCATAAATGAAAGGTCTCCCATTTTGAGATCATAATCAACAAAATATGGTATGGATCTGGAATGATTGTAATAAAAATAATCAGCCTCCCAAAAACTCCATTATAACACGTGTACTAACTAAACACTCCATGTGTTAATCCAAAAACAAACAAACAACCTATACTACTTTCAGACGTCTCCAGATGAGAAATGGCTTACTAAACTTTTGCTGCCAGTAGCTGGCAAGTGGCAACTCCATGGAAATGCAGTGGTGCTACTGGCAAGAGCTCAAAACGGTTTCTTAGTTGAATCAACATTTCAAAACTTAATGAAGATGTTGCTTTTTTTTTTTTTTTAAACAAACAGTCTTCTTTTATCACTTGGTGAAGCTCACCTATTTTCCCATTTGGTTACAAACCTCAGCACAGATTCATTGAACATTAGTGGATTTATGTTTTTTAGGTCGGAATCACATAGCTATCGAAAGCTAAACAAAACATGACGACTTCATCTGTTCAGTATGTTCACTCAGACCCAGAGAGACAACACATCGGTTGTTGAAACACATCGGTTGTTTTTTTTCTTTTCTCTAATTGCTTAAATGCCTCAAACTACATTGTAGACCAGAGCTGGTTTTGAAACCCCTATAACCATGAGTAGTCTGTGAGACTAAAGTGAGCATCAGAAGAGAAATAGGTTCTTGTAACCTTCTGCAGGATGAGGTTCAGATAGACGCTCTCCTCCCAATCGATGTCTGGGTCACCCAGGCCAGGAAGCTTCTTAGAATCCCTACGGTAAACTTCAACTTCAACCTGCTGATAGAAAACAAGACATCCGGATGATATACGAACACCCATTTGTGTGCACACATCTGCACAGTACTTTGAACCTCTGCTTTGAAATTTACTGCCTTATTTGTCTGCCAGAGCCTGGATTTGTTGACCCTCAGATCACCAGGCAATGCCAGCTCTTCTTGCAGGCTTTTTCTGGGGTTGCAGGTAAGGGATGAATGTAGAATAGGGAATGTGGGAGAGATAATAGTAGCCTGCAATAGCAAGGGACTGGACTAGATGACCCAGGAGATACACTGAAGTGTTATTTTCTAATGATTTTATAGTTCTGAGAATTTGGAAGGGATTTTAGTTTTGGACATTGGTCTCATTTATTTATTGTACAAGTAAAGTTTGCGTGTGTGCCTAGAGCTTTGGCTAGTCATATTTTAACCAAACACATAAATAAGATACTCACATAAAAGGGAAAGGATAATGGCACCATGTAAGTGAAATATGTCAGCAGATTAACGCATAATGTAATCTAATGGTGGCTGTTTGGAATGTTGGGGGCAGCAGCAGGAATCCTTTAGCAATCCTAAATGAAAGGCATCTGATGAGGTAGAGAAACCTTCATTCCAACGGATTTGAAAGTGCTTTGTAAGGAATCACTTCACCCACAGTGAAAGTCCTTTGGGGTGCACTGTAGCAACTCTGTAGCAATTCTGCATACAATGGACAGGAAGCAAAGAGGAATATTGTAGGCATTTGAAATCACAAGGGAAACTTAGGCAAAATATAATTACACAAACTAGAATTTGGCCAGCACACATCTCTTTATTCATGCAAAAAGTGCTAGGGGATCTTTACTGACCACATTACTTGCAATTGGGTTTTTCATCTCACCCAGAGAGAGAACATCACTAACATTACTTCCTATAGTCCCTGGGTTTTCCTTAGAGGTTTCCCTCCAAGTACTGACTCTGCTTACCATTAGGGATCTGTCAAGAACACAAGATAGTCTGAACTCAAACATAAAACAAAACCCACACGAATGAAACTACAGATGATGACAATGAGAACAATAGCCTAGATATGAAGATGAAAACCTGAATAGTGCACATGTATTATTTATAAAATGATGACTGTGTTTGGCACAGTACCAATATGTTGAATTTGCAGTGTAGTTGGATCTATCAGATGGCATATATTAAAAAAAAATCTATATATTATATTAATGAAGATATCCTATCTCCTAGAACTGGAAGGGACCTTGAAAGGTCATCGAGTCCAGCCCCCTGCCTTCACTAGCAGGACCAAGTACTGATTTTGCCCCAGCTCCCTAAGTGGCCCCCTGAAGGATTAAACTCACAACCCTGTGTTTAGCAAACCACTGAGCTATCCCTCCCCCCATCTGATGGGGAACATGACCAATAGACCTGAATATATACAATATCTCCAAAGAAGCTATTCAGGTCTGTTATGTGAATATTTGTTTATATGTTTGCAAGCTATTATTTGATAGAACACCAGAATAGCTGAAAAGAATCTGTTCCTTACTACAAAAGGGTGAGTGTCCAGAAAATGCCAGACAGCAGGGTATACCTAAGAAGCGTCCACTCATGCACCTTTATTTTGTTTTCATTGGGGCAAGAGGAGAACCACTGAGTTTAAAAGAAAAAACAAAAAAACAAACAGAACGCAAAAAAGAAAAAGCCAGAATAGGAGAGTAAAACCACAAGAAATAAACACCCCGGGAAATATGATCCAGCACTATGTTAATTCTAAATATAACTCAAATCCTCTGAAAAGAACAATGCTAGAATAAAGGCTGACATATACAGAAGAAAGGAAATGAGGCAGCACAGTGTTTCAGAGCAGGCAGCAAAAATCAAAATCAAAATATCCTGAGGTCTGAAAGAACAATGTTACGTTACTAAAGTAAAATACAATATTATTCTGTAAATCACCTTTCACAGGAGATACATCTCAGAATACTTTATAGAATTAAATAGTGCCAGACCATAAACTGTACATGGTATAAACACGGTGAAGTTGGGACACTCTTTGGTGAATATATTAAAGTATTCAGTCATAAGGCTGATAGTAAAAAAAAATAATAAACTAAGTTAGATGCAAAAGGGTAAAGATACATTTTTTTTCCAGGGGAGATTTCCAAAGACGAGAAAGTCAGTGAGGTAGAAAGGTTCATAAAGAATGTTCCTGATGGTAGGAGACACACCAGAGAAACTCCTGGTACCAGCAGTGTCAAGAGTGCGGGAAGGATAGAACAGCAGGAATTGCCCTAGTAGACCAGGCCAGCCATCTAGTTGAATATGCTAGAGTGGCCAGTACTAGATGCTTCAGAGGAAGGCGTAAGAATCACCATAAACTGTCAGTCATGGAACAGCCTGCATCATAGAGGAAGTTTTTTCTTCTAATGCTTGTCAGTTGGTTTATGTCCTGAAGAATGAGCATACCCCGTATGAATTTATCACCATTATAAACACCTTTCAAAAAAGATTTCCTTAAATGGCTAGTCCTTTTTTTTAAATCCTGCTAAACGCCTGGCCTCCAATATTTCTAGTGGCAATGAGTTCCAGGGGTTAATTGTGAGTTGCAGATAGGAGGCTGCAACAAGATGAAGCAAGGAAAGGAGTAAAATGCAAAGCAGTATTTTAATATATATCCACATCCAACATGAAACTAAGGATGGCTGCACCTTTGTACACTCAGGGTTCCAAGTTGGACACATTTTACGAGCATAGAGGTAGAATGTTCACATGGCTACAGAATTTGAGAAACTTCCCCTTGGGAAAATGGAAAGGAAGTGTCCACCTGACTCAAGGAAGGAAGCAATGAGATCACGGCGGGCTGACTATGCAGGAGAAGACAGATCAAGCAGTACAGGTTCCTATAAGACATTAGGTTAGTTGACTCTCCCATACATAGTCCTATTCTTACACAGTGCCATAGAAGCAGAACATAACTGTCTCTCAGCAACAAAGTTCAAAGATAATTTCACGAATGTCACTAGATGTTCATGTTTTTTGATCAAAGTGTTGCAAGATACCTGTGAAAAGTGATTCATGCTTTACAGTACTTATATTCAATAATTACATTCATTGCACCTAAATTTTATTCTGCTTTCACATATTCCCTTCCCCTCGTCCCTTAACTTACAGAAGTGGAGAAGAAGATAAAGGGGATTCTAATCAGCTATGAGACCTTTTCCTGTATACTCATTTATAAGATGATTTTGTGAGCAGTACAACATATGGTTGAGGACACTGTATCTCAGTGAATTACTGCCATGGTCCTTTACTTTAGGAGTCAAAGACTTCAGTGTCATTGTCCCCAAAAGAAAATGTATTTAGGGAAATCAGAACACAATTTTGGCTGGGTAATAACTAACACTATGCAGAGCTCTAGGTTTGAC